GCTTTTTATTGTTATTTTCTAAACACCTCCCACCTCCTGGGGAGGCTTTTATCTCCCTGGAAGTGAAACTTTTTAATCCAGACTCTGCTGAATTTCAACCTAATGATGTTCTGCGTTGTAAACACGGCTGCAGGGCTGGAACCAGCTCCCAAAAAAACCAAATGTTCCTGTTGTCAGTGGGTTTGAGGGCGAGTAAACAGCAGAAACCACACATGGTCTCTGGCAAAGCGGGTGAAGGAGGAGCAGCCGTGTTTCCTGTTGCTGGAAGGCCCTGCTGTCGGATCCTCACCCAGCTATTTGAAATTGCTTTGTGCTTTTGTCATGTGGCCTGAGGGAAAAGCAGAAACCTCAGGAGTGTTGGGAGCTGGAGCATCTCTGGGGTGTGTCGTGGCCACCACCCCAAACCCAGACCGGACACAGCTGTGAAAAAGCCTCTTGCTCTCCTTTAAAATCAGAATTACATAGATTTTTGTCCCCCTGAGTGTCCTGGAACCTGGTGTTTCTCACAGTGGGTTTGTGTTTAAAGTGACCGAGGTGCCAAGAAAGGGTCAATGTGAGATTGCAGGTCATGGGTTAAACCCAAAAATTCCTGCCCCTCACCCTGGTCCCAGCCCCCTGAGTGTCTCTGGGATTCCCAGCCAGTTTTCCAAGCAAACCCATTCCCATACACGTGCGAAAAACAGCTGCAATAATTCCAGCCCAGCCCTTGGAGGGGATTTTATTGCACGATAAAGGTTGTTCCTTATTATACAATAAACATCAGGATCAACTTCCTCTGGATCCAGTGCCTGGGTTTATCTGATGGCAGCATCTGAGGAGTGCTGGGGAAGTCACAGCTTTGGTTATTAGAGATTATTTTTTTATCAAGGGCAGAGCCTGACCGTGGAGACATTTACTTTGTGAACTTTGGAAGGGCTAAATCCGTGTTTTAAAAGCTCTTCCCTGACTTTCCATGACCCAGAGCAGGTTTCTAGGAATACAGAAGGAGGAAGGGGCACCTGCAGCTGATAACCAAGACCCTCAGTGATGTTCAATGACTTTAATTAATATAAAATATTAATATAAAATAATTCAAGTGTGAGTCAGGGATGCAGCTTCCTTTTGTGATCTCTGATTGCAGCGACTTCCAGAGCTGGGATAGGCCCGAGCTGCGTCTTAGCAGCTTTTAATCCTGGCATGTGTAAAACCACTTGAAGAAAGTTTAGGACCCAGCAGGTGCCCACCCCATGAATCAGTCCTGCCGAAGCCTGGCACAGGCTGGGATCAGATCCAGAGGGTGCCCAGGCTCCTCCTCCAGGATTACACCTGGGAATCACTGACTAACTATGGAAAAGCATTTCCTCCTCCTGAAACCTCCAGGGAGGTTGGGAGCTGTTGGGATGGCACAAACCCAGGATTAACTGCTCCTTGACTGCAGCAGTGTGTGCTGCAGTGTCCTGTTGGAGAAGCCAATTCCATGTTTTTTCCTTGCTTTCTTAATCCTGTGGTGTTAAAATTAATCAGGATTCAGGGAACCAGTGCCCTGTCTGTTGGTACTGAGAGAACTAATTATCTAAATGAAGTTTTGTTGTTTTTTTTTCCAGAGGAACTCAGGTGTTGTGCCAGGTTTTTGTTGGAATACAGTGAAAATTGGGGGCTGGCTGTTTCCCTGGGCTCCTCGGAAAACCCTTTGGTTACTCAAGCTCTGGGACCCTGGAGGTCACAGGGTCTTTTGGAGGCACCTTTAGTGTTTTGTTTCTTTGCACTGTGAGTTTGAGAAGATTTTTTAAATCAATGAATCTTGGTTAAAATGCTTCCAAATGGGATTTCCCATCAGGATCCAGCCATGGTGTGTTACCCCATGGGCAGAAGATGAGTTTGGGGCAGGAAGATGTTCCACCGAGGGACTCCAGACTCGGGTGCTTTTACAGGGTTTTTGATTTATTCCAAGTTAAATTATTTCCTTGGAAAGATCCAGGAGGTTATTGGTGATTTCTTTGCCATACGAAGTGTGGAGGTGCTGCTTGTGAGGTCCACGTGGGTTGGAAGCAGGAGGGAATCCAATCCCCTCTGCTCCTGGTCCAGCACCTTCCCAGGACCAGGAGGGATGGCTGGGAGGGCACCACACTTAAACAGCATTTTATTTGTGCTGAAGATCATTTTTAGCCATTGCTGCTCATTTTTTTCTACCCTGTGTTCTGCAGTTGAGAAAGGGAAGAGTTTCCCTTGAGTCAGGGAAGGATTTTCAGGAATAATTTCTTCCTGGGTTGTTAAGCATTGGAATGAGCTTCCCAGGTTGGTGGTGGAATCAGAGCCCTGGAGGTGTTCGAGGAACACCCTGCAGGTGTTTAAGGATGGGGCACTCAGTGCTCTGGTGTGGTTGAGAAGGGGATGTTTGGTCACAGGTTGGACTCGATGACCTTGGAGGTCTTTTCCAACCTTAATGATCCTGTGATTCTGTGAAGGGAGTGGGGACAAAAGGACTTTTCCACTCAGCCTCAGAGATCACACCTTTTAACTTCATTTGTGCCCCAGCAACCCCTGCTCTTGCATTTCTCCCAGCTCTTACCTATGCAAAACCAGCTTTAGGAAGTCATTTGCAAGATGATTTCACTGGGATGGAGAAATCTCCCTCTGGGCAGGTCTTCCCACCCTCCACTGTTTGTTTCTCTAATGCACAGGTTCTGTTTTGCAAGTAAATAAATGCCTTTGATTTTTAGAGCTGCAAAGGAAACTAAAACATCTGCTCTGTGCTTCCCTTCCCAGCCAAAGGTGTGAGCAGAGGAGTGTGTTTGACCACCAGATGTTACCCTGAGCTTGATCAGCTGAAAGCCAAAGGTCTGAAGACTCTTTTCCCACCTCCCATCCAGATGGAAGGACTCCCAGGGCACTGTTATTTTCTCATTATGGACACTGGTTTCCTCCACGTTTTTTGGATAGATGAGAGGTAATTGTGGCTGGAGAAAGGCACTTTGCCCGTGCACGGGTATTTTGGGGGCAAGGAAAGGCTGGTGGTGCCCATCTGGGAGGTTGGATGCTGTGGGAAGTGGGATCTCCTGAGCTTTCCTGAGGGAACAGGCACTTGGGAGGTCCATTTTGCTACATAAGGGTAAGGAATTGGTCTGATGGAGAGGACAGGGAGGGCTCTCCTGGAAAACCTGGAGGTTTGGAGGCAGCCCATGTGTTGGAGCACACAGGATGGGAGGGGTGGACACTGAGAGTTGTTCTGTGGTGGCAGAGCTGAAAATCTGACAGGGATTGTGTTGAAAGGATGAAGGTGTTGAGCAGAGAGGTTTTGTTCCCAGGGATTGAGCAGAGCCTGGGGAGTCGTGGAGTGAGAGCCAGGGGGGCAAGGATGTGGTGGGTTGGCTCTTTGTCCCCACATTGCTTTGGCCTCACACTGTTAATAACTAAAAGCTCTGCTGAGCTCAGGGAGGTGCAGAATAAGAGGGTTTTAAAGGTTTGGGATTGGAAAACCTGAAGCCAAATGTCCCTCATAGCCCCTGTTAGAGCAGCAGACCAGAGCTGCTGGTGATGTTTGGTTTGCTCAGCAGGAGAGTGAAGATCTCCAATGTTTCAAGAGGTGGAAATTCAATTTTTTCACTGAAATCATCTCTGCTGCAGGAGGGCTTGACTGAATTAGTGCAGGATTGGCTGAGCCAAACTACACAGCATCAGCTCCCCTTCCTAAACCCCAGTGCCTTAAACTCTTTTAAACAATAATCTCCTTAAATCCTGGGGGCTTGGGAAATGTCCCCCTGGAGATCCTGTCCTGGATACAGACATTAACTGGTCCATCTGAATGCGGAGTGTTTGACGTGGTTTGAGGTGTAAAAGGGTGGTGGTTACAGTGTAAAAGGACCATTCCCAAAGCACTTCCTCCCTGTGGATTCCTGGGAGAAGCTACAGAACGAACCATTTTGTAGCATATTCCCCATTCCCTTTAATTTTTCCTGGTTTCAGCACAGTTTCTCTGCCACTGTGTAGTTGTGTAACTGCTGAATTTGGTCCATCATCTATGGGGGAGCTTTTTTTACCTATGACAATAATTCCTTTATGCTTTTATAATATTCCATAGCTTTTTATTAAATATAGACCACTTAATTTTGGGCTTGAAATGACCCATTTGACAGTTTAAAGGAGTGTTTCTATTGGGGAAACAACTGTCTTGATGCTTTAATATTAAAAAAAAGGGATGAAGAAAAAAAAGAGTAAGGAAAAAAAGGATAATTAAATCTCTTTGCAATTTAATAATAAAAAAAAAAGAGAGAGGAAAAAAGAAGGATAATGCCAATGGCTGGAATGAATCCTATGATATTCCAGGCTGACAGAATAATTTCAAACAATAATAATGCAAAAAATTGCAACTTCACTACTAGAAAGAAAGTCATAGCAGCTGTGTTGTGTCTTGACCTCCAAAATTAAATTTATGGGATGCTGGTTAAATACAGGCTCAGCATTGGAGCTGCTTTGTGTGTACATGGAATCCAGGGAATCTCTGGGTGGTTGGGAAGGCGGGGAAGGGCAGAGGAGGCTGAGGTGGGGTTTGGTCTCTGACTTTGCTGTGTTTTGGTTCTGGTTTAATTCGACTGGTTTTGCCTCCAGGTCACCCATGCTGTGGGAAATAAGAGATGCTGGGAGATGGAACTGCCACGTCCTTCCTGCAGGAAAAGAGGGCTCTGTGGAGCAGCTGTTGTCCGGATCCTCATGGAAGTATCAGCCTTATCTCCCTGTCCTTGGATCCCTCCCCATGGCTCATTGGCTGGGTCTGAGCAGAACGAGCTGAGATCTCTCTGTGCTTTGGCACTTGGGAGCTCCTTGGCCACCCCATCCCAAGAGGTGACTCAGCTTTGCTCCTGGGAATGCTCAGGAAGCCAAGGGGTGGCTCAGGTCTGGAACTGTCTGGATGAACACACCGGGATTAAATCCAGGCTCTGGAAAAGCACAGCTCAGGAGCAGAGGCAGTGACACCCAGGTCCAAGGGGCTTATTGTTCCCATCAAATGACACTTTACACTGAGAATCTCTCAGGTGGCTTTAATGAGGAGAAATATCCAGGTATCCAGACTGAATCTAGTCAGGGGAAATATCCAGATACATAACCATAATCTAATCAGGAGCAATATCCAGATATCCAAAATAAATCTAATCAGGAGCAATATCTAGATATCCAAAATAAATCTAATCAGGAGCAATATCCAGATAAAAAACCATAATCTAATCAGGAGCAATATCCAGATAGATATCCAGACTGAATCTAATCAGGAGAAATATCTAGATACAAAACCATAATCTAATCAGGAGCAATATCCAGATATCCAGACTGAATCTAATCAGGAGCAATATCCAGATACCCAAAATAAATCTAATCAAGAGCAATATCCAGATACACAAAGTGAAGGTAATTGGGAGAAATATCCAGATATAACCCCAGAGTCTAATCAGGAGGAATATCCAGATATTCAAACTGAATTTCTCCTCTGAAATTCCCGTTTCCACTGTTGCTGGGGTCGGTATTCCCGGGACAGCTGGGCCGTGCTGGCCATGGCTTTGCCCTTGTGGGTACAGCTCCAGCCCAGCCTCTCCCCCTTCAGCCAGCCCTGGGGTTGGGGTTCACACGGGCTCCTTTGAGCTTCCGTTTCTGTGCCCAGGGCTCCAAGCAGAAGGACAGGGGGGAGAGGAGGGCACAGGCCCCGGCAAAGAGGAAGGAGCACACGTAGGTCTGGGTGTAGTCGTAGAGCCAACCTGAGGAGACAAGGCTGGGGTTAAAGCTCCGGGATTTCTCTCACTGGAAAAAGTCATTTTGGGGAGGTGGGCGGGAGGCAAAGGTTGTGTGTTCTCGTTTCCGAATTCCTCAGTTATTTAAGCTCTTCCTGGGCAGCATTTCCAGTCAGCACTAAATGTGTCTTTCTTCCCAGGGCCAGCTTTGATCCTTGTTGTGGGCATTGGGTTTAATTTGATTGAATTTAAGCCCTGATTTTTTTTTTCCCCTGTTTAAGTGGGCCAAAAGCAGGATGCCTGAGCAGGTGGAAGATCCCAATGGAATGACAGGATGACTTGCATGTGTTGGTGTTTCCAACATCTGGGCTGCAAACCCCTCCTTTCTCCAGCCTTTTTTCTTGTGCCCCAATTTAATTCAGTTTTCTTGAGCCCCAATTTAATTCAGCCTGTCTAAATGAGAGACCCCAGGCCAGGAGCTGGGAGTGGACTTCCTTAAAAGCAGCTTTGTGAGGACTTAAAAGGAAAAGCTGAATTCCGTAAAGCCTCAGGAATCTGCGAGGGTCACCTTTTAAAGTGACCTCCAAGTGTTGTGTTTAGTTCTGGCAAATGTAGGCAATCACTGGTAAGGGGGATAATTCCTCTGGTGGAATCTAAAATATCCAGAGTGATGGGAGATGCTGCTGCATGTGAGCAAATCCTGACACACTCCCAAGTCTGGCACGGGAGGTGGGGGAGCAGTTGAGCCAGCTCTGCTTCTGGTGAAGTGAAATTCCTTTGGGGACATCCGTGAGCTTCCAGGATTTACACAAACAGCAGATCTGGCCTAAATCTGGGATTCTTAAACCCGGGAAGGAACATGAAGCATCCCTGAGATCCTGGGCTCGGCCGTGTGGGAGCTTTAACGAACAGGCAAGGGAAGAAATGGGGCCTGAATGTGAAATTTGGGGCTCGGTGAGGGAGCTGCTGTTCCCTGCCGTGGATTTCCCCGGCTGCAGGAAGCTTTTATAAAGGCAGGAGAAGCTGCTCTTCCCCCCTTTCAGTCTCTCTTGGCTCATTCCTTTCTCAGGGGAGTTTCTCTGGGTTTTTTTCAGGAATTTCGTGGGAGCCACAGCGCAGGAGGAGCTGGAGCTGCTGGAAAAGGGGCTCCTGCGTTGCTGGACTCGGTGCCGTGGCTGACACTGCCGGGACCCCGAGGGGTTCGTCCTCCAAGGTGGGATCTGGTTTCCTGCCTGGAGGTCTCTGGGATGTGGAGAGGAGAAGGGATGCTGATCCAACCCTCTGGGAGATGTTCAGGACAGAGCTCCAGCTGAGCTCAGATTTATTGTAATTATGGGTAATTTATCCCTCCTTAAATTAAGGGTAAATTATCCTTATTTTTAATATGTCCTTCAGAGTATTTTTTGATTTTCCTGTGGGTTGAAGGGGATTTTTTGGGACCAAATGGGATTGAGGAGCAATGGGATTTTCCAACATTGCCTCCTCAGTGGCAGCACAGCAACACCTCCCACCACATCACACCTTTAAAGCACCTCCAGGGTCTGTGCCCCAATTGGTATAAGAAATATATATATTTTATATACTATATATTTCATATAGTAAATATATTATATGTTTTATATATTCTACATATTCTCTATATTTCATTTATATTTTTTAATATGTGTATTTTCATGTATCCATAAATTTTATATATTCTATATATTTATATTAAAATACATATTCTATATTCATATATTCAACATATTATATATTTCAGATAGTCTATATTATGTATATCTATATTCTATATTCTATATATTCTCTATATTTTGTATATAGAATATATATTTATATATTTTTCCATGTATCTATATATTTTATATAAGTATATAATATAAATGTATTATATATCATATATTTATATATTTAATATATACTTATAATTTAATGTTACTATTAAATGAATATTAATATTAATTTAACATATTAATATTTAATATTTAATATTTAATATTTATATTCTATATTCTTATATTAAAATACATATTATGTATATTTTACACATTCAATATACATTTTATATATTTAAAATTTTATATATTTTATATATTCTATATATTATATATTTGTATATTTATTTTTATGTTCCATATGTTAATATTAAGATATATACCTTTATACACCCTATATAGTTACATTAAAAATATGTATTAGGTATGTTTTATATATTTTATATATTATATATATTTGACATGTTTTCTGTATTCTGTATATTTATATTCAAAAATAATCCTTCCTGCTGCCAAAAACCGAATTAGAAGCTCCTTGTGTCCAAATTCCAGCAGAGCAGCAGTTTTGGAAGGAATGCTGGTAAATCCCAGGCACCAAAGCACTCTGGGTGAAACACTCCTGGCACTGCTCCTGCTGGGGTCAGGTGGTTAAAGTTATTCCTGATGCCCTAAGTTGGAAAATGCAGTGGGAAGGTGAAGGTAAAATGTCAATTCAAGAGCCAGCCCAGCTTTTGAGGGAGCCCATCCTCCCCCTCCCAGCCTGCCTGGGGCTGGAATGTGTCCTGAAATTTGGGTTGTAGACAGAACATATCCTGAAATCCGGGTGATATATGTATTCTGTCATTTGGAATATGTTATATTCAGTTCTTTTGCACTTCGAGTTAATGATTTGTGCTGTTTGTGGAAACAAAACAAGCCAAAATAATGTTTTTCTGATTTGATTTGAGGGGTTTTTCCAGTGGTGCTGGTGGATGGGGAGCTCCAAAGGAGATTCCAGACTTTTCCCCCTGAGCTTTTCACTGAACAGATTTGCAGGTATGTCACCTTTCCTTGCATTAGGCTTTCTAATGTGCAATATAATAATATTTTAAATATTATTAATTTTAAATACACTTATTTTACATCTAATATTTTAAATATTATTAATTTTAAATACGCTTATTTCACATCTGATTTTTTATAGTTTTTATAATACTGTTATAAATATTTTAATAAATTTTAATGAAATTTTATAATTTTATAAAAAGTGATAAAATGAATTTACATTTTTATATTTTTGTGTTTTATAAATATTTACAAATATTTTGTTTTTAATAAATATTCTTATAAATTATATAATTTATAGAGTATATGATAGATTTAATTATTGTTAAAATATGACAGTATCTATAATATAATAATATATAATATTGGATATAGTATATTGTTACATTATGTAATACTATATATTATATGTTTGAAATTATATATATATAAAATATAATATTATTTTAATATTTTTGACCATTTTAACCTTTGCAGTTCTCATTATCCGTCAGGTTTTGCTGCATAAAAGCACTTGAATTTTATAAAATCCTAATTCTTAAGGTTTAGGGAGGTCAGAGCACCAAACCCCAAATCCTGAACTCTGGGTTTGGGCACTTCATCAGTAGCATCTGGTTATATTCAGTTTTCATGAGAAAACGGAAGAATTTATTTGGATAAATTAATAACTGAACAATAAATTAACAAATGAATTAATAAATAACCTGGATCTTGAACTCTCAATTGTTTCCCTCTGGGTGGATCAGTGAGAGTTTTATTTCCTGGCTCTACTTGGCCTTTCTTTATCCCACCAGCATTAAGCCAGATATCTTAAAAATCTGGAAAAATCACGAAAAAGCTGGAAAAAAAGCTTTTTACCAGAAACCTTGTTTTCCACAATCCGGAAATGCAGCACTTCAGGAAGCAAAAGGCTTCCAGTTAATGAAAATATATTGCAAGGGCATGGAAATGAAACTGCAATAAGAGACAGCCAAGTTATTCAGCTCCTTCCATGCTCTTCCCGTGGCAGGGAATTCAGAGGGGTTGCTTTGTGCTGGGAATTCCTCCCGTGCCAGCAGAGATCTCTCCCCCAGGCAGTTCATCCCCCTGACAGGGGGGAGCTCCCTGTCCATGAAATAAAATATAAATGAAAATGTTTGGGCTGCTCGAAATTGGATCCACTGACAGAGTTTTACCAGCCCGGAGATATTGATTAGAAAAATCAATTTTTGCCTGTGCTGGCAAAACTTCCCATTGAGCTGGGATTTACGGAATCCTTGGCAGCTTCCAGCCAGGGGCCTTGGCAGGCCTGGAGATTTGGAGAGCAGGAGGCAACAAATGATGGTTTGGTTGGAAAGGACCTTAAAGCTCCTCCAGTGCCGTGGGCAGGGACACCTCCCACCAGCCCAGGTTGCTCCAAGTTTATCCAGCCTGGCCTTGGACACTTGCAGGGATGGAGCATCCCCTGGGAATTCCGTTCCTGTCCCTCACCACACTCCCAGGGAAGGATTCATAGAATCATAGAATCATGGAATCACACAATCAGCTGGGTTGGAAGGGACCTCTGAGATCATCAAGT